TCCTTTGAAAATAATCAGCTATGGATGTAAATAAACATGTGCCATATATGACATTGCTCTGTACGTTTGCAACTTATTGAAAAGATGCCCTGACGTTCGCATATTTTGTACTTGCGTGTTGCATTTAAAATACATTATTCAATATTCATGTTACCTGATTTTGAATGTTCTACAAGCATGCACATGGACTCAAAATGTCCACGCCCAGGACAGCATCAAAGTTTTTCCACACAGAGTGTGAGAAGTTAGCGCTCTAGTTCTATATAGTGCTCCGTGGTTTACACAGAAAGTGTTGCATTTTTGTCGATGCTTTAGATTCAATTTTGTCTTCTTTGCCAGCTCCTTGTTGTCTACGACCACAACAATGAACAAGCATCAATCCCATTCTCAGAACAGTTTTCTGTAAGCAACTTCTGGGTTCACAATGTGAACAAAAAACCCTGTGTACTGAGCAATGTCTTCCCTAGATGACATCACAGCAACGGCGCCCTCAGTTGTCCAGGAAAGCATGGATAATTTTAAAAGCTTTTTAAAAAGCGCACTTTTCAACGCATCTAACCAAATGTGAATGTAAAAGAGTTTTCACACATTGAAGAAGAGTACAGAGTTGCAGAAATATTGTGTCTAAGAAAAATTCATTACACTTACCATTTAAACATCCTTCGTGATATAATGCAGGAAATCATCTGACATGGTTACATGTAAGAAAGAAAGTTCTCCTCACATCATGGGTATTTCAATAATATATCAAAAAGTAAATTATCACTGAATTGGATTTTGTAATGAGGGGCAACTGTCACATAACTTCATGTACCTCCAACTCCAGTATAAACAGCCAACAGTACTACAAAATTATGAAGCGCTTCCAATCACAAGAAAAACATTTTATCATCCACAGAGCACAGTTTTACAAGACCAGTGGATGGAAACGGCTCAGTTTTACAATGGTAAACAGTTCGCAGAAAACCTGTGTAAAAGTCGAAGATTTTTTTTCTCCTTTTTAAATTCATTTTGTTCTTTCAGCACACGTGGGTAAAGAGCAGGGAAACAATCAGTGTTTACAATGAAACCTACGCATGAGGACAGCTTTAAAAAAGAATACATGCAATGTGAACGTGTGTAAAGGCTGATGACCCCCTACAGCTAATGTAAGCGTAAGGTTTATTACCCATCAATATCCAATTAGATTGGGGGGAAGGGCTTGAAAGATTTTAAGGTACACTGCAGATGAGAAAACCTTGGGACAGGCAGACACTGCTCTTTGACTGTGATGCACCTGAGGTTGTTCAAGTTCATTGACATTGACAGACAAGCACAAAGTATGGAGAAGTCTCAAGCCTTACAATGACAACGGACTTTGAGCTGTTGGAGAAAGTACCAAGGCAGATGAGCAACTTGGCCATGTTGAACTCCGCTGTAGAAAGCCCAGCAAAGAAAATTGGCTGACAAATCAGAAATCTGACAAACAATTCGGTACATACATGTACGTGTAGGTGTTGACAAGTTTGGGATAACCTAGCATTTGTGGAATTGATTCTAAATCCTTTTGAGGGATGTGATTTCCAGATAACTTCACAATGAAACTGCATTTTACTATTGAGCTACATGTACATGTACTGCTAACGTACTTGCAGGTCTATGGGGAAGGGGACTCCATTCTAGTTATGAGATACCGGAACACTGTGCCAACTTGAACACTTTTAAAAATTCCACCAATGATAAGATGAATGTTCTTGCATCTAGTGAGTTAGTAGAGGATACGGAGGTGCATGTATACACCTCCAACTGAAGTACAATTGCTATTCCAACACACTGTATGGTAACTGCACAAAGCAACATCACTTCCAACTAATAAACAAATTATCAAAATTTGCAGGGAAGGTTGCATAAAGGTCATTAGCCAGTCCTTGAATGTCCCTGCATAGTTCAGGGACAGAATCTGGGTCTGCTTATCCACTCTGGAGAGCCAATTATTGGAACTAATGGTACACCTTAACAGCAACTGATTACACAGTGATCCCATAATGGGGTACAATGCCTCTGAAGTAGTCAACAGCTCCACCTTATTAGGGCCTTTGTTTCCCTTCTATACTGTACCACCACACCAGTACTGCTGCTGCAATAAAACTCTGGGGGAGACGAGCTCGCTGGCGTCAAGCGGCTAGCTCAGCCTCAGACAGGCAGGCATCAGAGCGCAGAGCTTTCACAACCATGCAACTTCACACGAAATGCAATTGGGTGTCTGCCAACTAGCCTGTGGATATGACCCTGGTCGGACTCTGAATTGTGAAATGAGTGCAAGTGGGTAATTAGGCATAGCTACCTTAATGAAGCAGCATGACTGCCGTCATCCATCATCATATGTAACACAAATGCATTCCCCAGAATCTTGACTGTTATTAAAACTACACAAAGCCTTTTTTTTTCCAATTGATCATGGGTTTATCGTCAATGCAGGGTTTCTTGCAGCATTTGAAAAACCAATTCTGATTGGGTGCAAATCCCTTAAGCTTGACCGAGTCTAAAGTGCTAAAATGCTTGATCTGTAACCCTCCCTCCTATTCATATTCAAATCTAAGATACGGATCTGCGTTTTAGGTTTCTTAATCTAAAATTTTTATACTTCAATTCAATTCAAACAGGAATGCCAGATTTTAAATCTCTTTTGCTCCCTGTTACCTCCATGTAGAAACAAGTATAACATCCCCTTAACATGCACGTACATGTAGGCCAACATGTAATTACACAAAGTTGCTGAGGTGAAGATGTCGATGTCAGAACTTTACAATACTCATGCCCAGATCAAACAGCACACAGCAGAGATTAAGCAAGTGTCCATCAAATGGAATTTACAAACGCATGGTGAAATACCAACAACACAAGTACTCTTTAAACGTCCAGAAATCTCTCCTGCCTACATCATTCCATAACAAATAACTTCATCCAAAGTTCACCCAATGCTAAAATTTGCAGGCTGGATTTTATACGCCTCTATGCCAATTCAACAAAATAGCGGAAGTAAACTTCTTCTCCAGTGCCCAACACACACACATTTAACATACCACTTCAGCAGTTCCATCTTATAAACCAGAGACATTCCAGCCCAGAGTGGCAGAGTGTTATTTCATATAACACCGACCTGCCCAACTGAGCAGAACAGCATTCCCTGGGGATGGATCAGAGTAATAACCCTCCCTGGCAGGACAAACTCGTCAATTTTCAGACCATCTCGGCCTGATGCAGGTGCAGCCAGCAGTATGCACCAGATCAGCCCACCTTCCCCTGGCTGATTCATCAACCCCTTCTCATGCAATGAAGTTTAATAACAATTTAATTACTCCGGGGCAATTGAGGCTCCTTAGGAAGTATTAAGTTTCCTTCCCACCCTCTCTGCTCTTTCCTACATTGTTGTTATATCCATGCTCTCACTTCAGATGCAGAGATGGAAAGAGATGGAAAGAGATGTGAGGTCAATGACCCATCAGACATTGACCTGTCCATGGAGCTGGCCTCTACAAATAATCTAAACAGGAATTAGACCTTCTCTTTTCGTTTGCTATATTACTCATAATTATGTCCATAGTCTGATCAATTACACAATCTTGGCCTAAGAGATAGGATTGTGCTGGGGCAAGTGGAAATAACAGGCTTAAAAAGGAAGGAGAAGGAAGCAGTATTGAGGGAAAATATCCTTATTAATCAGGGGTCGGATGGTAGGTCAATCAAAGGCCATAAAAGAGTGAAAGGTCAAGGCAATCAAGTGATGCAGACTTGCTATACAGCTTTTCATGAAAGTGTCTTCAGCTGCATTCGCATTGGACTAAAAGGTGTGAAAAGCTTGAGTGCTTGTTAACGTTCCACAGCAGCTACTCACAGCACACGGAAAGTCCCCTGGTCACTTAAAACCTGCCATGACATGTCCTCTCAGAATCTCACAAGAGGCCCTCTTAGTGAAATACGACATTTTTCAAAATTTTGTACGTCAAACATGTATGCACAGTGACTGTCTGGGCGCATGCGCAGGAAACAACAGAGGTCATGTGGGTATGTCCTGCCCATTCACATGACCAAAACTAAGGGAAGAAATATGTGCCTGGCCGGTCTTAAACATGCCAGCTCAAGAGAATGGATGCCCCAGCAACAGGTGAGGGCATTATCCGCATTTACTCTCCTTAAATTAGTTTACGACCAATCAAGCACATATTTATTCTCATTCATAAATACCGTTTTAGTCAGAGTCAAAAGAAGTCAGTATACGACAAATTTCAAGAGATTTTGTTGAAGAATGTTTACTTTCATTTTTCTGAACACCCCCCGTCCATTTTATGAATTTTCCTCATGCAAGTAGTCAAGAAGAATCTCCTTATATGGACTTGGCGTGCACGAGGCGAGTTCTGTGTGCCACGGCACACAAAGTCTCTCAACCAATAGGAATGGATCAGAATTTCTCGTATCCAGGTGCCAGCACGTTTTTACCAAGCAGCCATTATCAAATCACAGCAGGCATTATCAAATGTGACCCGCTCAGTAAAAATGAGTCACAAGTCTCTGGAGCTACATGTGCATGTACTTTGGAATTTTACTTTGTATTAGATTGAGGAATTTGAGCTCTTTCTTTTGATGTGTCACTCAGTTTGGTATGATGAAAATGGACATTGAGTAGATGTCAAAATGTTGAGGATTCCTATTGCTTAAACACTGTGCAAGATTCTTTCAAAGGCCTTTAACTCAAAAGTGGCTCTGGAGACATGCGGCTCATTTTCACAGAGCAGGTCACAAATGTTAACACGCTGTCACAGTGTGCATTGTTGAATAGGCAAACTGTCTAAGGTACGGTATTTATGAATAAAGTTTTACGTTACAGCTGGCATTCACAAGGGACTTTTCAACAACTTAAGCCAATGTAATTCTTCTGCAACCCGGTCGTTAACCAACGTGCGACTCTTGACAGTTTCTGCATTCAACGTTTGTAATTTTGTCAAATTTTATATATACTGTACCTGTTGGTCCAGGAGGAGTGAGCAGTGCGCCCTCATTCCGTTACCTTCACAGGGGTCAATGATGCCCATGGATCGGGGCAGGAAGAAGCCAGAGGCTAGTAAGGACAGGCATCGGCGGAAGGCCAAGTTGATGGCCAATGGCTTCCTGGGTGGGTTGTTCATGATGGCATAGTGGGACTGTCAGCATACAGATGGAAGAATAGGGAAAAATCCTTGAGAAGAGGCTACAGACAAGAATGTCATTCAAGATAATGATCTGTCCTCAATAACAAATCAGTTTCCTGGGATATTTAGTCAACAATGAAAGAATTAGCTGGTACATGTCATTTAATTGATTAACAGTGCTAACGTATGCAACTCTTGCATGTACGTTAAAGCATACATAGCAGTCCCCTAAAATACTCTTCTTGTAGATGCAAATATCCTGCAGTGTATTGTGTTAAAGTGAAAATTTAAAGAGGAGGGACGAAACCCACATACACAGATCTGACAGTCGGCCTGCACACAGTGAATGGGATGTATCTAATCTAGATGTCTTTTAGCTGCCTATGGACGCATAGTTCCAGTAGTGGAAAAAGTCCACACTGCGTATTGAATGTTCCTCACAGCTTCAATATTGGTCAGAAATAACAGCATACTGGCAAGCATGCGTCATCAGTGAAATGAATTATCCTCACCAAGAAAGTGCTACACCACATTCGAGTACTTTTTAAGCACCAATTTTACTACAAAAACATTGAGCTGGATAGGCGGCAATGAAGCTGAGGACACTAACACTGACTGGTAAATACAAAAATGGTGAATAAAAAAATGAATGGTTAACTTCAGACTGTCACAGATGTATACTTTTTTTTTAAGACGGACGTGCTTGAAAAGAGCTCAGCAAAGTACGTTCCAAGTTATAAAGCTGTGAGAGTCTGACGTCTTGCATTTATTTTGTAATCTTACTACTGGGCATTTACCATCCAGCTTCACAGTTCCCAACGACCATGATATGAGCTGGCTAGTTCAACTGAATACACTTCAACACATGAATCTGCCTTATTCTGACTGAGCATCTTTCTGGGGCTTCATGCTTAAAAAAAAATTTCTCTCAGAAAAAAAGTTGTGGTCACAAAATGGCCTGGGGTTCCCAGACCAGATGACTGATTTCTGCATGTGCTCCAAAACCATCAGCCTCCAGATATGCTCATCAATCACCTCGGGCAAGATATGAAATTGCCTGGCTGACTGACCCTACCACTTGGCCTCTCAGGATGGCCTGGCCCTAGAAGATTTACACACTGTTGACCCCATCCAGGGAGAAAAGGAGGGTTATAAAAAATCATTGACCATTCAATGGCTGGCTTCCTGTCTCTGCATTCTGTAGCACATCCAAACCTAGTCATCTGTCCTTGTCTATGTGACCCCCCCCCATAAGTTCATACATATGCACTGTTTTTTTTGGGGGGGCAGGTCTTGGAGAGGGGTTGAACAATGACACAGTCTGGCTGGTTCGGAAAATAAAGTGATGATGTATCTGTATATGTACGGTGTTAAATCATTCAGTGTGCCATAAGCACTCTGCCGGGGCTTCTTTAATTTCCTGTGGGTCTGAGTTTAATATTTGATCTCATTTTAATTCCAGCTACATACTCTGTACTAAAATTCTGCGTCTCTCCAACCCGTTGAAAAAGATAAACCTGACAAAAAGCTGTAAATACTTAAGCCGTGTCTCTACTGGACTTTTTTTTCCCCCAAGGCACCCTCATTTGCCAAGAAAAGCATGTAAAATTTGAGGTGCACTTTCAATAAAATTAACCAACAAGAGATGTTCACTAGTTTTCAACCACTCACAGGAGCAGAGAGTTCCACCAAATTTGAATCTGAGTAAAAAAACAGCAGGGACCTTTTAACCCTTACAGTCTTGAGCACCCAGCTCAGTGAACTCAGTGGACTCAGTAAACCCAGTGGACTCAGTGAACTCTGTGACAGTTCTGTGGAACCGAGAGTTGCATTCTAAAATGTACTGCTCTCATTCATACTGAGATGGTATTTAAACTCTGGAGCTAGAGTTTCAATGGAGCTTGTTTCTAAGCAAAGGTTCCCCTGTCACCCTGTCCCATGTGCTTTACTTACAACACAGGCTGCAAATAGATGTGTTGCATCAGACAGATTTTGTTTCTATTGAAGTGACTGACAGAGATCCCTTAATTTCCTCATTGGAGTTGAACCGGTTGGCTCAGGGAATGTGCTGTTTTGTGTCTTTGGGAGGTTTACAAGAATTGGTTTTCGATATTCAACAAAAATTACAAGTACATTGTTTTGAATGTTAAGTAAATAAAAAATAATGAAATGATGACAGACAATTCAAAAGTAAAAGGCTGCGTGTCATGATTATAGCAAGGCCAACTGGGCTCAATTGATAAAGAAGCAGTGGGGCTCGGTTGTAAAAGAAACCCCCACTGAGCTCAAAATCGAGCCTGTCCCACAAATTTTAGGGGTTAGGATTGGGGCTGGCTAGCTCCACAGGTGGAGCCCAGTTGTGTTTAAAGGGCAACAGTGTGTCAGGAGGAGCTCGCCAGCTCTGGGAGTTTTCTCCATCTGAACAACGCCAAAAGGTTACTACTTACAAGGAGATCAATAATCCAGGGGTTGAGAGGCTCCAATCCCTCAAAGCGAGTCCTCATGTACTTCAGTACCCGGATTAGCACCTTGATGCTGCATCATGAAAATAATGTGACGAGGGGAAAAAAGCTGTTGTTAATACTAAAAGATTACAGAGTCCCACTCAGCTGAGTTGAGCCCCTTGTGCTGCAGATGAGCACATTTTAAAGAAGAGCTCAGCAAATTAAAACCAAAAATGTGAATGACTGAAGAAACTGTTACATCAAGATGCAGTGGAATTCAAGAGAACCTTTAACCTGGAGAAATCTCCACAAATATCCATATTTAGCCATAACCAATAATTTGGTTTATCTATATTTTGTTCAAAAAGGTCTAAATAAATGTCTGTAAGTAATGTTTTGCAGTACTACTATGGACCAAGCATTATCAGGATGTGTAGCACTCACACGAAAAAGGTAGTGTTTAGCCCAATAGATATATCACTGTTGTGATCATGTACACTGTAGGTCAATTACCTTTTATTTTGTCACTTGACTGAATGATCTGCCTGAATGGCTGATTTGCCTTGTAATGACACCTTTCAAAGATATCAATCTAAATAACAGCAGTATGCATGATTTGCAAAACATATGTGCTCCAGGTGCATCACTTAGAGCTAGACTAAATCAAAGTCAATGCTCTGCATATACTGCAACAGTTTGATTTGATATCAGAGATCCATCTCGTGTTTCATCAAGATTCTGAAAAAATTATATACAAATCAGTGGTTTTGAAGGACTGCTTGAAACATCAATTTCAATCAGTCACACTAATGCCCACAAGGGCAAGTCTTGTTTCATCAAAGCAACCGCAAAGGAATTCTGTTCACTCTGCATTTGTTCTCCATTGAGCACAGAACACTGTCTTACAACAGGGTCTAACAAACATTCCAAAGCATAGACATGACATATTAGCTACCAGTTTAGAAATCGCCCAATGTGACATCACTTTTGTAACTCAACACCACTTTTGATTTTGACTTCTGACCAAGAGACAAGTTACTAGTGTGTCCACTTGGAACAAAAGTACCTTCAGAATGGAGAACATTATGCCAAACAGAACTAAGAATGAGTAAATGTACATGTATAAATGCATGTAATGTACAAACATATACAAACTAAGAGTCATTCAACTCAGAAAACAAAATCATGGCATTCCACAGACAGAGTAAAGGGGAAGTCTAAATACTAATGGTCACATACCTACCTAGTGTACATGTAACTAGTGTGGACATTCCTTATTTTTTTTAATAAGTTAAAACTCGGTGAAAATACTCAATTTTCTTGTACTATAAACAATCTTCTTAGCCGGATTTTTGTCTGTGGTTTCCTGACTGTTCCTCTTTCTTTTTCTATGGATAATCCTACCTTAACAAGCCTCTAAAACTGTTCTCCAGAAAGGCGGTAAACCTGTGTGGACTGGGCCTAGTCCTCACAAGGTTCACACAACCTACATTATGGGAACCTATTTTGTTTTATGGTCCATAGTAGGTATGTAAGGTCCATAATTAGCATTTTGTGTAAATGTTGACATTAACACTTCATTTGAAACAAGACTGACTATGTTGAAAGAAATAGTTGCACTCTCTTCTCCAAGTGAGAAAAACTGAAGAGGCCATTTCTGGTTTGGTGATGCCTTAAACCTATCAATGGAGAAGTACACGTACGCTGAACATAAAAATACTTCTGCATGCAGTACATTGACCAGGGAGTACTAGTCCAACCCCAATCACCCACACCCCAAAACCAGACCAAAATACCCATGAGCCACAGATAAAAGATGGCCTCAAAATGTTTGACAAGAGTTTTGGCAGTAAATAGCACCCTCTGATGTTGGACGGTATCCAGTTTCTACCACCAACCTGAAAATGTCAGGATGTCAAAATCTGTTGTCAAGATGTGTATACTGCAGCACAAATGCCTGACTACACTAGCGATGTTTTGGCTTGCTTAGAACTAGTGAAACATGATCTGTACAACTGACACTGAACTGAATGTGAATTAGTGGCAATGTTGTCAAATCCTTGCAAAGGCTGAAAAAAAACCACCTAAAACCCCATTCCACTCGGCCCACATTCATTACTAGAATAACAAGGTGTATCGGAATTCTCGGTGAGTTTCAAAACCCAGGAATAATAAACAAGTAAAAACAATAATGCGCACATCAACAAACAATGTTTCAGACTGAAGTCCAGACAAATGCGGCACATTTGTGTGACAAGAGACAAGTGTTTATGTAAACTCCCCATGTTGAAACATTGGGCAGACCATGTTCACCCCAGATGTAGCTGTCACTTTACACCTCGGATCAGTCAACAACAAATTCTGGGGATCAGCAAGCCCATCAGTCATAATGGCTTAGGCAGGCTCTCCAGAGAGGTGTCTATGCTTGTTCACATCTGTTCAGGGTTGAACCTTATGATTAGATTACATCGCTGTCATGTGACTTCTTCCAGGATGCACATGAACATGAGCTGGATTTCTTCAATGCGTTAATTGGACCTAAGGGGGACATCAGTCCCCGGCAGTCACAGATTCTTTCCAACCATAACATTCTTTCCCGGACATGTAGGGAGCAATTATCATTCTTCCATGTATGTAGCCAGATATGTCCCACTAGGTGAATGATCTGCTCAAGTGCTGAAAGACCAAGGAGGGAACTAGTTTTACAGTGGATGCACAAACTGCCTTCGTGAAGTGATGCAAATTAGGGGAACATCATTTCTATCTCCGCAATGGGTTGAAATACATTAACTTTATTGAGACTGGCTCTTACGACATCAAAACCAAACATGAAACATTACATTTAACACCCCCACTACTCACACTTGACATATGATTACAACTATTACCGTAATTTTTGGAATATAGGCCCCCAAAAAGTTACGGCATACATTCAACAAATCTGCACCCTTCACATCAATTCTCTGCTATTTTCAATGTGACTGCCTCTGATAGTTGTCATGGAAACACATATGAGTATGTCTTATCATGGACACAGTCTGTTGTCTGCATCGAGATTAGTCTAAAATGACAATGACAAGAATTCATGCCACAAAAGTAGCCAAGTGCACGTTCACAACCAGCGAAAAATAACAGTCTTAGGGGTAATTCCAGACATTAGGGGTCCAAAAGTGTGACGAGTTTGTGTCCCTATTACACCTGACCTTTGTTATTTGACATGGAAATATCACCGGAATTAATTTCAAATTATTACTATTTGTTTGGCAGGTGATATACATTAATTCATCACTCTGGGATTTGGAAAATGTGATCTGAACTTACAAAATCATATGTCAGACGTGACAGGGACGCAAAAAAAAAATGGACCCCTAATTTCTGGAATTACCCTTCTGAAAAGTCTTCTGAAAACAGCAATATGATGTACAAGGCTGTGCCAAATATTCAAATACTTGAATTTTTGCGCAAGTTTTGAACATTCTTTTTTTTTTTTTAAATGTAGTTTAAAAAGCAAGCATTTGGGGGGAGAATCAATGAACTAACAATAGAAAATTTCAATTATTTGGTTTCAAAATTGCATTCTAAAGTTGTATTTCAAAGGTCTTCCACGTAAACTTAGCAAGGCCACAAGTTTCCTTTCCTACCAGTTTCACTTTATGGTAGTGTGTGATATCACTGGGACTAAAACAATTCATCACCAATTAGGACTGACTGATTCCAAGCCGCCTCCTCCCTTCAGCTATGGGACGGACCCCCTATCCTGGAACTCAACAAAGTGGACCATCACAAAAACATGCACGTACACTGTATTTTTCTTCTGGATTGGTATACCTATTATCAAAGATTCAATCCGTTAGAAGATCAAATATTCAATTTTTTGGATGGACTTGGCCTTTTTGCTGCACAAAAACAGTGCGCCACAGAGTCTTTTTTTTTTTTTCAGTGCTTTTCATTGCACAAAGGACTCGTCAGCATCCCCATGGCTAAACAAAGATTCCACGGTTTCATTGTGAGGAAGTTGACATTTCGCAGTGTGGAGAGGTGTCCATGTTATTTGGCTGCGGCTGCGGCTACACCTACATGTACCTATAGGGTGGAAAAATGCCAGCTCTGCTAGCGGCTTCGCCAGATTTCCCCTTGACAGATGTGGAAGTGGCCCAGCAACTCCTGGTAATAAGGAGTTTTTGGTAAGACATGCACACTGTAGATGCATTTGTGTGGTACCACATGTACACAGTGAAAGGCAATTGATTTAACCAGTTGTGGAAGATATTATTCCACAACGAACTGGCCCTAAACATAACATTATTTTCGGCTGGATATACTAACTACTTAAGACACAAGATACACAGTTCTTTACAAAGTTGGGCCTTACAAATGCTGACTCCAGATAGTCATGTGTTCGAGATCCGTACAATGCTTATTACAGTATCAATGCTCTTTGAAACTCTGAGACAATGTTGCTATTAAAAGAGCTATTTTGCTTCAATGCCTGGCTGCTTGAGGGCTCCCTTTTGTAGTGTGGTGCCATACACAGATGCGTTCAAGCCTCTGACAGTGTGTACAAACTCAGCAGAAATCACTCAGGTGTGGGGATGAGTAAAGGTGTCACCTAGTAAAATATACAAAATTTGCCACAAGTGTCCCCTATGGAATGGGCACCAGCAACCCTGCATGGAGTGGTTCTGTGCTGAATTATGTAAATTACATGTATGACGGTAAAGTTTAAAGTGGTCTATAAGAGGCAAACATGGTCGCAGGAAGCAGTATGGCAGGTATGAGAATAACTGTACCAGTTGTATGGGTTTGTTTCTTTTTGTCCAATACAAGGTACATGTAAATGTATGGGCCAATTTAATTGAAAGAACAAAACAGATATCAATAAAAAACTGTTCTCGAGTGACCAAATGGTGATATTATGATCCTGATTTGTAATCTAGAATGTACCACACAATGCCCCTGTACATAATTATTCATCATGGGAGAAAACTGGTAGTCATTTCTGTCATTTCTAAACCACAATTATTAACATGCTGTTTCAATTTTTTTATGTACTGTTCATTAGCATTTGGCAATGAGAAAACCAACCAACAA